AATGCAAGAGTGGCAGGCCCCACGCATGATCCATGTACAAGGCAGTCCAGAAACTGCTAACAAAGACCCTGATGTCACAAATGTCCAAGCTACTTATCCAAACAATAGATAGGAAAGAACATAAATAGTACATGCATCTCCCAGTTTCTTTAAATGGCACATTGAACTCAAGCAAAAGAGACCGAAAATCAGATCACTATAATCACCTACAGGCATTCTATTTGATTCCCTTAGGAGCTTTGTTTCCAATTTGGACTTTGCCACATTTCTTAGTATGTTTTAAATTCTCCCCATTTTTGGTGAATCTGTGCCTAACCAATGGACAAAAAACAAAAGGGACAGTACAAATTTCATATCCAGTATACCAAATTTAAGATAAGAGAGGTCGTGCAAGTCCACAGTAAATGTGATTTTTTTTTTAATATCATCAGTTCAAATTTTGGACATTTTGGTTCAAGTTTTGGCCAAAGTTTCCCACATTCTTTTATAACTTTTTTCGTGGAATGTACCCCCATTTCTGGGTTAGTCATTTCCAAAATTCTTTTGATACACCCAACCACAATACTATAATTTCAATTCAGACCCAAAGAAAAGGCCCCTTCTGGACCAAGCACTTCAAAAAATTGGCACTACAAAGGTTGTCAGGTGCACACTCTAAGTCAGTTTTGCACAGAGACTGAAACAGAATTAGAGATTTACGTAAATGAAAGTTCATCAAATTTCAAAACAATGGAAACTGAAGAACGTTGACAAGCAGTATTCATACAAAGAAGCAGCACCAACTTCCAGCAGCTGAGATCCGAACCAGGTCCACTACCAAGCCACATGCACCAGTGTTATAACACATGAATTCATGTCCAAACTCAGATGGGTCCGGAGTCTGAGTTGTGTCTAACAGACTTGGCTGAGTCTGTCCAAAAAATAATAAAATAATGGTAACCAGCCAAACTTGGTTCCCATGTGTATGGTTCTGGACTCAGCATCCTACCGAGCCCAAGTGACTCAAACAAGTTCTCAACCGAGTTTTCAAACACATAAAAACTTTAAGCTATAAGTCATCCCCAGCAACCCAATGATCTTACACTAGCCATCCAATATCACTATTTTGCAGATTGACAGGAAATCCTTTTTCCAACTCCCAATATTCCATACAATGTACCACAAAATTGCACAAAGCCAACAACACTAAGGTGAGCCCCTGCTAGAACTACAGATTTATAGGCTCAAGCAACAAATCAATTACCAAATCACATGACAACAGTGTTTCAAAAAGCGTTAGGCGGCACCTGTCGGGGGGCTCCAGGCCGCCCAGAACCTTGGCGGCCCAGTAGAAATTTTTTTTTGGGGGGTTTTCTCTATCTAAATTAGGCTCTAATTGGTTTTAGGTTTCAAATGTACCTAAAACCCACAATTTTGCACCTTTAGTATTAAAAAAATGACCCAAAAATACCCTCAACGACAAGCATTTCTGCCCCTAGGCAGGGCGCAAGCCCTGGGCTGCCGCCTAGGCGAGTTCCCGGGTGCCTAGGCGGGCGCCCAAGGATATCCGCTTTTTTTGGGCGCCTAGCCATTAGCGATGCGCCCAAGCCCCCATAACCACCGACAGCCACCCAGGCACTGGGCGGTCCGCTTTTTGAAACACTGCATGACAACCACAAAATGTTAGCCACCCAGATCACAGGGTTATCCTTTGGCTGCTATACACAAAATTGCAACCAGTTATCATAAACTTAAGTCACTTGGGACAGGGTTCCTAAGTACATTACTCAGTCTAGTACTATACATACTTGCCTGAGTACGGAACAAATTAGTGCCTGACTCGCCCTAGTTTGTACAATACTCCAGTGAGTGTACTCACCAGAATACTGTACAAGTCTCAAAACCAAAGGGGGTACAGAAATCCCACCCTTTGTACTATTCATCCAAATTTTTCAAGAGCTCAAATCTCCTAGATCAGAACTCAATGCCAAAAACTGGTTTGGAGGTTTCGATTTCCAAGGAAGCTTTAGCAAGGATGTCAGTTCACACTGAGTAGACTATTGGGTGATGGGCCAAAAATTTCAGGTAAATTTCTTCTTCTTTTTTTAGTTTAAATTCATACATCAGATTTTTTACTAAATCAACCCGGAATGTTTATAACTAATCGCGTATATACTTTTTTCTTATGATTTTCTATTTTTCTTCTTATTTTTCCATATTTTTGGGGTTTTGTTTTTTGGATTTTCAAGCCAATGACATCAATTTTCTCATTTGGCGGTTTATATACTTTTTATTTAGCATAATTTTTTGGAATTTTACTTTTTTTTATATTTTTTTTTTCAGATCTTTTGGGAATTTTTCCCTATTTTCTGGGGCTTTCCTTGGCTCAGGTGGGTGCCAAGTACCTTGCCGAGCCATGTTTTAGAGGACTAATTGCAAGAAACCAACAAAAGGTTTGAGAAGCCATACAATATCCCAACAAGATTTTTTATAATTAAATCATTGATTAAAAAGTCAAATTGCACTCCTCAACAAAATAAAGACAGACAGAGCTGTAGTGAAAAAAGGTGGACATTGGGGAGGACTGGAGAGAGAAGAGATAAAGGAAGAAGAAAGAAATATGGAATAGGAAACAAAAAATAAAAATAAAAATTCACAACTTCCTCCATGGTGAGGATACTAAGCTCACAACCTCCTTGTGAACCAGTCTGGTGTATGCTTTTTCTGTCTGTAAATGTGATCGAAAGAGCACTTCAGGGAACTGTTCAGGAATAGGCTATCTTACATGAAATCAGCAAGGCGCACTGGACAAGTTTTATTTTCTGAGTAGCATGTGGTCTCCCACACAAAAGCCCCACGATATCAACTCAAAGAATGATCCCCCGTCACCAAGAAGATATGCTATTATATTATCTTTAACAGGGTTTTACACATGAAATATATAAAATACAACAATAACAGATCAATTAATCATAATGTCATTTTTGTCGCCTTTTCTTCTTAAGTTATTAAATGTTCATGTCTTTTGAAGGTCATGTTTTCGGGCTTTCCATCACCCAACAATTATGGGTTGCATCCAATTCATTTCCATGGATGACCATCCTTATTATCTAAGCATAGAGTCCTTGTTATGCAATGCTTAAGAGCACAACTTCTCATTTGCTCCGATAATTAACTATCTATTTCTATTTTGATCTACTCCACTAATGAACACCTAAGACTTCCATGTGTTGACTTTAGATCACAACCAAGTAACAAAAAAAGGGAGCTCTAAGAGAGCTCAACAAGCAGAAATAACATTACAGTGCATTCCAATACAAAAAATTCAACCATAAACAAACAAGGCAGGCATTTCTAGTACAGAAACTTCACACAAGAAGAGGAATGTTCATGCATTTTACTCTTGGCCAACTGTAGTTAATGTTTTGCCAAGCATTGTCTGGAAACTGGTTAAGATAATTATCACTGAGGTACACTTAAGTTGCCACACCTCATGAAATTTCTCATCAACACCAACAATTTCCAATTCCGGACATCAAAATTCCAAAGTGGTATCAAAGGCCAAATTCCAAGTTTTACCTGAAAGAACTTTTGGAATAGAGTCATGGGACTATGACAAAGTATGCACTATATGATGAAGCACCCATCTCTTTGGGAGATATTTTGATTTCTCTCGACTGGTGTTGACCTATACTAAGCTAAAATATCTAATATCATGATGTCACATGCATAAATGGTTAAGAAAGCCAAAAGCCAAAGAAGATCCGTAACGGATAAAAAACTTGCAAGAAATCGCAAATTTTAGCTGACAAATGAGGTTCTAGCACAACAAGCATTAATGTGAAACGTGATGGAAGTTGTAGGCAGAAGGCAATCATCTCACACAAAACTCAAGAAACCAAACCCCATTTGAAGATCTGATGTCCAACATATACACAATTTCCCCATGAAAATCCTGCATTTTATTCGACATCCAATGCTTTTTGTAAATGAAAAGATGTATGCCAATGGAAAACGGCAAGGGAAAAGTAACAGGAAAAGACCCTCAAGCGCACGTTGAAAGAATTACCTCAAATGTACACCAGAAACCATCACAGTGTTCAGAGGCTTACCTTCACATCTAAACATTTGATTCCTACTAACTCGGAGTGAGAACTGAATCAAGCTTAGCAGAGAGGACTGTTAGGTCTTTTCTCATTTTGAATATTTTGACATTTGTTTATGTTTTTAAGCATCTTCAGCCAATTTAACGTTGAAATTAATGTCATTACATTTCCTAAAAATTAGAGTTCGATGTGAAAATATATATATATGGTTTTTCATGTGCGAGAAACAAAAATTTATCCAAATTTTTCAACATCCATTTTGATAAAGTTTCTTATAGTGAAAGCCAAGTATCAACAGCCAAGTGTTAATGGTCTTATGCAAAGGCCTGTGGACTTCCTACAAGGCCATCATGTTGCTCACAGAACCATGTGTGCTTCGTTCTGAAGACACTAAATATTAATCGGAATGCTTTCGGAACACATTTCTTCTAACTTCTCTGTAATTTTGAAATGTCAAAAGGGAGTACACTTCCTTTTCTTTCCATATTTAGCACAAAGAGAGTAGAATGAATACTGATGACAGTATCATTCTATTTTTCCTCCCACCTAGCTATGGATCAGACTAGATTTAGTCGACAGTCTCACCCAGCTAAAGCCAACTGTAAGAGCGATTGCAACACCACAAAAGGGTTCGAGGCAGAAAACACCCTCAAAATGAACTAATGAAATCATAAGATCTGCAGTGCATCTGATAATCAAATAGTCCCACCTTACCAAAGCAGATGACACTCAGTACAAACATCATTTTTCAAGACACATTTCTGTAAAACTAGATCTACAAAATTTAAAAAGCACTGACAGAATTTTCAGGGAATACACCAATGGCATCAAAAATGAATGCCAGACAAATAGAGGATGAGCATAAAAAAGAAAACAAAAGTATCACATGGGAAACAGCAAACCAGTTAACAGTACCTGGCATTCAGGTTGTCCAACCCTTTCGGGGTACCCACCTTTAATTCGTGCAGCAGCAACTGCCTGGCATTTGATGAAACATAGTAAACGAAGCAATCTCAACACAATTAGAACTTTAAATAATATCAAAAAAAGGAAGAAACGATAATGCCATATGAAACATCAAAAACTGAGACAGTGTATTGACAGGTATAAAATTAGACAATAAACAGATAACTAAAACAAGCTGAAATCAGTAGCAGACCTCAGGTAACACAGAAAAGAATAAGAACGACGAAGTTGAGAAAACTCATCCACATGATTCAGTGAGATATGTAAATATAGTTCACATACTTTGAGCTACAAAGAAAGTACTACATTTAGCTTGATAACAAATTATCCAACAATTGCTTCCTCTAGAACATGAGATCAATGAGCTCAGTTGTTTAGCCTAGATCCAAACAAAACATTGGTAACTCTAACCAAATAAGGACGTCTCCAAAATACGGATTTATCTACACAGCCATGATAAAGACATTAACATATAAAGTCACTTCCAAAAATGCACAGAGCCTCGCCATAAGAGAAAATCTGAGAGCCCCATCATTCCAAATGAGAAGAATCAGAGCATAGGAAAGCAGTCAAGCACATTTCCGAGTTGATATTGCTATGATACATGCACAAGAAAAATTAGGTTGTCCAAATTATATGGTTAATTATCAAAAGAAAGTACCAGCTTTCGGTTGGGCGGGTGGTTGAATCGACAAGTCATTCCAAACCTGCAGAGCCCAGTTCGAATGTAATAAGCACAATCAATCTCACCAGGCCTCTCAGGATAGGGCCCAGACTCCATGGTTTCACTGGATCTCAAACTCAATGGCCACATTGCATCTGAAACAAAAGACCCACCAATATTTACTGTGTTTAATTGTCGTACGCAAACATAACAAACCCAGAATGTACAAAAAGTCAATGAAAGCCATGACCTTTCGGTGAATTTCTGCCCTACCACCAACCCTATCACATGCGACTTTTGCACAGATAAATCTCATATCAACATCAAAGAATCATATGAAATTAATGGGAACAACCAACAAAAACTATCAGGGAACCCAAAATAAAGGAATTTGACAAAGAGCAGCAAAAGGTAGCATTTCTCACATCAATTGCCGTAATGAAAGAACTGAACTTCCAAACAAGGCGAAGAGGCCAAAAAAATAGGTTCTTCCAAAATATTCACCACAAAAAAAATGGAAGAATACATAATCGAAGTACATAACCCCATCACACAAGAAGTCTGAATCAAAACACCAATTCTGGATGGATATTAGCATTAACGAACAAAGGGAATAAGAAGAAACCAAAACCCTAGAAATGCAGCATACAGAGAGAAAAGACTACAGAGAAACTCAAACCTTCAGAAGATTCCCCGGCCCTAGGTCTGGAGAACTGATGAGTCTGTGAAGAATCAGCCATGGCTGATCCTTGCTGAGCACCAAAACCCGACCTAGACCTCTGAATTGTAGCATTGTACTCCATTTAACCACAACTCACAACCACAGAAAGCTCGCCATGCCAGGTCAATCGGACCAGATAGAAACAGAGATCGGAGCTCATTTAGAGGACCTAGGGCGAAGGCTGTCATCGTAATCGGCCATGGGGAGGAGGAGCAGAGGGAGAAAAGAAGAACCAGGCGATACACACCAGCCAGTCGTTCGTGTGCTCTCTCTCTCCTCTCTCAATCTCTATCTCTCTCTAAGCTCGATCGTTTTCGTTCTGTTCGCCTCTTTTACTGCTTACCCCTACTTTTGTTGCTTTTTCTTCTCCAGTGGACCCCCACCTCTCTCTCTCCTCACTCTCCTCACTCATCTTTCTCTCTCTAGAAGTCCTTGTCTCTTTCTTAACTGTTGCAGGTGGGACAAGGGAGGAGAGAGAAAATGGGCCGTAGCCTCGTAGGGTTTTAGAGAGAGAAAGGGAGGGCACGTGAAATCCGTTCACACCATTGAACGGGCACACTTGGCGTGCCTAGTTTTGAGCAGAGGAGAGAGAGAGAGAGAGAGAGAGGCGCATTTAAAGCGCAGGGGTGGAAAAACCACGCATGCACTAGTGTTCCGGCAGGGGCCCACAGGTCTTCCCCCTCCCTTTGGGGAACATTAACGGACCACGTCTCACCACGTCGCCATTTTCTGATACGGCTGTCAGAATGGCCCCACTCCCCCCTACTTTCTCTCTCTAAATTTTTCAGCATCACTCTCTCTCTCCTTCTGTGCTTGTGTGAGCCCAGGTGGCTTCGCTCTGAAGGCAGCTCAGCTCGTCTCATCGAGCTCTTTCTCTCGGACCTCTAAAATATTTTATGTTCCCGCGGGAGCATTTCCTCCCCCCACTTCAAATTTAAATTTTGGGATTGTTTACGAGTTCATTTATTTGGGCAAGCTTTCTACGTTTTCCTTACAACATAAAACTTATATACTTCGCCTTGCCCAACCATCCATTCTAAATAGAGGGTTAAGATTGTTCCAAGTACAATGTCACGTTTCTACACTATTTTATTTTTAATTTTTTTTATAAACTATTTTTACACTAAATTTTGTACGTCGAATCCTCTATTAAACTCACACTAGTGAAAAATATAAAAAAAAATATATTCCTAATAAATAAAATGACCAAAATACCTTTGAAATTTAAAGGGTATTTTTATCATTATATTTTATCAAAAAATTATTGTTAATATTTTTTATAGATGTACCCCAATGAGAAGATGACATGTGACAAATTTCATATTCATTAAATTTGTATAAAAAAACTAAAAATAAAATACTTTGAGATGTCGGATCAATATCAAACAGTGAGTGGCTCTCTTTATTATAATTGGACAACTGGATAGTAGGGAAAGCATAGATCTTCTATGTTGTAGAGGAAGGAAGTATAGAAACCTTTCCCCATTTATTTTGGGTACAAAGTTGTTACAATTATATTTTGCCATTGGATGTGAAATCCAATATATGAAAGGGTATCATGATATTCAAGATTTTTTTCTTGGATTTTGTACCCAAAAAATTATAGATCCACGACCACTTGATTGCAAATATGAAAGTCAATTATTATTGTAAATGGAAAAAGTTTATTTAAAGTTGCAACCTTAAAATGTAGAATTACATATGCACCTCAAAATTTCATCGGAAAAATGTTGTTTTAATGTTCTAATTGATCATCTCGACATCGAGATATATGAATACGACAAAGTACAGATTTTGAGTCCTATAAATAGTGCATCTTGCAACACATTATCTAGACGATCGATTTTCAAGATTTTCATATACTTATAGATCTACTTGATTTTAATTATTTTTAGAGTTTAAAATTTTATAATTAAATATGAAAATAGATTTTTCAGATAATTTAAAGATTTTTTAACTGAAATTACATGTTATGATGAAATTTGGAGGTGTGACTTAATTGGATTGTTTAAAGTTGCAACTTTATAGAAACCGCACCAAAGTAAATAGTCTCATTGTATGCATTTCTTTAAATTTGAATGTATGTGTTTAAAGTAAAAAAGATAATGACAAAAGGATGAAGCTTGTACAAGGCACTGTTTTTTTTTTGTAGTGTAGAAGTAAAGTGCACCTCCAAGAAAAAATTTTGAATAATAGTTCAGGTGTTGAAAACCTTATGATGGCTTGAAAATCAATTTTTATCCCTAGTTATGAAATTTAAAATTTAAAAAATAATACAGAATGAGCATATCTCTAAACATTTCAAAATCTTGAAAATAGACTGTCCATATAGCTTGTTGGAAGAGGCATTATTTTTCCGACATGAAATTCCTTTTTTTTCTTCGTATCAATGCATATAGATATTTTTGGAGATGTACCTTACTTCAATAATATAAGGCTGCAGCCCATATAAACTTTTTCCCAAAAAAAAATTCAAACTACTTGTATGCAAGTATATATGGGTGTGCCATTGAAACTTTTTCAATAACTCGAGGTTGAATTGGGATTGTCTATTTTTTGGATGAATCGAATTATTTACAAACTCAAAATATTTTTTTTTTTTCTTTAAAAATAACAATGCAGTGATTTAGCTTGGTTCCCAAATTTTCATATCAAAAGATCATCCTAAGTAATTCTTTCCCGAGGGAGAGTAGATGCATAATATACTCCCATTATATGCACTAAATGGTATTTCCTCTCTTATTAATCGTACTATTTTCGAATTTTGAAATACTTTTGTGTCCGTTTCTCTGCTTTTTTTTCTTCTCTCTTTTAGCTCCATTTTATTTCGTATTTGTGGGTCTCTATTTCCTCTTGTACTTCCTCTGATAATGACATATAGTGTTTCAAAAACCAACGATCCCATTCAAAATTGCCTAAGCCAACTACGAACCGGTATGGGATCAGTGTAAGATCCCTGTGGAACTGGATTTAAGAGTAGTTTTACAAGACTCGCTTGGTTTTTGTCTAGGCGAGTCTATCGTGCCAATCAACCGATTCTGTTGGAAGAACAAGATGGATCCAACAAGGAATTTTATTCTCTCTCTCTCTCTTTTCTTTTTTATTTTTATTTTTAGTTTTTTCATACGAATTTCTCCACCAATTTTTGTCAAATTTTTTTCAATACCTTGGTTTCTAGCCACCTATGAAATCTACACCACATTGTCGAAGCAATTTTTGGGTGAGATTGGGAGACTAAAAAGTTTCCCTTTTGTTCTCAAAACACCCCTTCTATCTTTTATTGTTTTTCTCCTTGTTTCTCCTCTATTTTCTTCCAAATTTGTTTCAAAACCTATGTTATAGAGCCCTCTATGGATTTACAACAACTACTATAGCATTTTACATTGCATTTTGCTTAGATCTAGATTGTTATTATATTTAACAATTTTTTCTCTCGTTTTAAAAAAATCTGCATTTGCATTGTTCTTCTTGTTTCATATCGATTTTGTGCAATATTTGTCCCAAAATCCTCATCGCTGAGCCCTCCACGAGATTTGTGCAATTATTTTCTTGCCAAAATCCTTTTTTATTGAAATATCGTGCTAAAAAATTGGGGACTCAAAAAAAAAAGATCTATCAAAAATAGCCGTAAACCCAAGTTTCAAACGACTTACATTCTATTTAATAGTTTTAAATAGATTTAAAGCCATTTTTTAACTAAACAAGAAAATAAGTGGTCTTATGAGTTTTTTTTTTTTTGTTTTCCATCTGAACTTTTAATTTAAATACTTTTTCACATTTTTTATTTTATTTTATTGGAGCATTATATGGACGAACTAGTTGAACTAACCAATGGGGATTGGCCATGGACTGCTTCAGTTCAATATTTTAAATAGTGAATCGAGCTCTCTATCTTCCTAGTTTGGTTTTCTTATAAACCGTTCTTCTTTTTTTTCTTTTTTTCAGTTTGGTTCTCTAGGAGATAAAAGAGCTGCGCTCTATTATGGTGTTTCATTTTGTTTCTCCGGGCTTAGCCCTCTCCTTTTTTAATGTAATGGACTTTGGTGAAGTATATCTAATACAAACTATTTTCAAAATGAAATAATTCTCTCTTGTTTACTTGATAGGTAGAACGTATTAGGACCTTTCATTGGTTTGTCAACTGGGTAAAGGTTTGTACAAGGTGCCTCCCTTATATTGAACAAATAAAGTGCACCTACAAATCTCGTCAGAAGATGCAATTCTAGTTTCATAAATCTTTCGACAACTTAATAATTCATGTTCAATCTTAATTATGAAATTTAAATTTTAAAAAACAGTACAAATCGAGCAGATCAATAAAATTCTAGTTTCATAAACCTTTCGACAACTTAATAATTCATGTTCAATCTTAATTATGAAATTTAAATTTTAAAAAACAGTACAAATCGAGCAGATCAATAAACACTTGAGATTATTGGAAATTGAAGTTCCATAGGATTTTTTTATAAGATACATTGTTTTTAGGACCTGAAATTCTTTTCATTGCATCTATACATATCGAGATCGTGATGATCAATTGAAAAGTTTTCGAACTTTGAGACACTCTTTTGTACTTGGATTTTTTAGGTGCACCTTACTAGGTTGCAACCTTGTATAAGCTTTTTCCTTATTAATTTGTTTATTATATTTTAGGATATGCTCCCAAAGAAAGGATTGGTAAAGAAAAGTAACAAACAAGGAAAAACTATTCCTTGTCTTATTTTGCATTTAGAGTCTACTTACTTATTTCGAAAAGGTATATAATGAGACAATTTATTTGTAGTAGAAGGAGGTCACAACTATTATAATAGTTAGATATACAATCAGGTGCTTGAGAATATGATATTGATTTTACACAATGTCTAAAACAAAACTTCTCAAATGTTACAATACATTTCAATATATTAAGTATCACATCTAATGGTTAAAAATGATTGTGATCTTCTTGTACTAAAAATAAATAGTCCTCTAATATACAATCATGTTTCTTTCTGGTAGATCTTTTTACATGTTTATAGTTGTGGATATTTCCCTCGATTATTAAAATTTCATAATACGACAAAGAAGAGTAGAAGAAAGATGGGTTTACTTTTTTTTTTTGGCTTTTATTTTGTTTCATTTCACCATTTGTCCTTCCACACAATGCAACAAATGTAAAAATGATCTTAGAAATAGTGAAGTAAGTGGCCATTGGATTCCCATTTATGGTTGAGCATGGCTATCATAGATCATCACCAACTAGAGCGTGACAAATGGACTAAAATTTCGGTGGGTCGTGCTCCCTTAAAGGTTGCATTATTTGGGTTATACATGATAACCTCTACCTTGATTGGACTTCTTAGGATTTTCCATAAATTACATTTTTAACTTTTTTTTTATTGTTGGTGCTAGTTTTATGAATAAATAAAAATTTGCACATCAAGTAGTTTACA